TATATAGATGAAATTATTCAGTCTACGCCCGCTTGTGGCACAGCACATAAACAACAATTACCAACAGGCATTGACACTCAGCTACCCAGCTAAAAATTAACGTTCTAAGAACGTTACCATAACATTTGTTTAGGTTTGAATAACATACGCTCCAAACTTTCATTAAAACAACTTTTGTAAACTCCGATTCACAGTTCTTAAATATTTGCTGTGAACGTTCAAACAACAAACAACGAACGTTGATCTAACGTTCGCTGCAAACGTTACTTTGATAGCTCTTGAACGTCCACCCCAGCTAAAAATTAACGTTCAAAAAACGTTACCATAACGTTCGTTTAGGCTTGCATAACGTACGCTTATTTTTTCAAATTTTTTCAAATTTTTCAAACATTTTCAAAAATTTGAAAAACTTGTTCAACTTTTTTTTTTCTTTTCAATGTTTAGATTTAAACATACTTTTTGTTTAAACCTACGTTTGTAATGTAATTTTTGTTTTTTTGAGTTTATAAAACCTATTTTTACTTAATAAATACAAATTCACCATGTTTTATAGCTGAATTACATCATATGAAGCTTATATGAAAACCAACGATTTAACTATTACATTTACGATTTAATATACATTTCGAGCAAATCCACACAATTAGCTAAGTTGATTACAATTAAGAAAAATAATACTTCTTGCGATGAAAAAATTGATTTATTAGTATTAGTTAGCGCCCTATAGGACATATTTTTACAAAATAATATCAACAGCATAAAAAATAAAAACACGTTATTCCCAGGGAAAGTCCACTAAAAACATTAAAAACATGCACGTCGTATGTAAAATACCAAACCTTACCATACATCATAATAAATAAAAACAATTCCTAATTATAAACAAATTCTTTTTGTGGATTTGATAAACAAACTAGTTCTATTTATGAATTATCTATACTCAAAGAATGACATTAGTTCACAATAATGTGTTTTAGGGATAGCATAATAACTTTACTTTTTAACGGGTCCCTATTATTTTGAAAAAAAATAATTCAAAACTATCATGTTGGATCTTCAAAGTAGTGAAATTGTATAAGAATTTCAATTAAATAATGATTTAATAATACAACTATTCGTTTTAGATTTAATTAAATAAAAGCTATAGCTTTTTAACCAAAAATAAAAGTACATTTTTACATGTTTTGAATAAAAAATTAATTCATATTTATATATATTTTTTAAAACGAATATTATTGTTGAAATTTATATATTATTTTTGCTACATTATTTTGAGTTAATTAAGTTATTTAAGCTGTTACCTAACGTAGGAATAATGCTTTGAAATTTATTTTTTTCTCAATTAACAACATTTAAACATCTGGCCACTTAACAATTAAAAAAAAACTTTTTGATCTGGTCATATAACATATAACGTAACATATACTAGGCTGTACTGTCAGAACTTTCTTTAAAATGTCACTGCAACAGAAAACGATTGTCACTTGGTATTCTGAATAATGAACATTGTTGACCATTTTCAGCACCAAGTAGGGATGTTCTGGATTTTGGCTCCAGTATCTTTTTTTTGACATCCGGCTCCGGCTTCGATTTGACATCGGCCGGATCTGTTAGTAGAAATCCGACAAATCCGGTTCCGGCTGGCGTTGGAAAAATTAAATCCGGTACAGCCCTAATAATGAGACAGCGATTGAAGGTTGGCTGCAAGAGCAAGTTTAACTATGCTTACAATGCATTTTGTATTTTGTCAAAAAGAGAAAGGACATCATTGGAAGATCCGCCCCAGATATAGCAACAGTATTTCATATAAAGACATATTTGAGATTTATAAAGTTAAAGAAAAGAAAGTGGCAAGAGTAAGAAAAGTGGCAAGCATGATAAAGAGATGCAACTTTATCATGCTAATTTTACAACTGGTTTGATATATGGTTTCCAAGAAAGATCGAAAGTAATAGTTAATTCTAGAAGACAAAGGGTAGATGACTCATTGAGTACATACCATTCATAAATAAAGGAAGATCTAAATTATTGCAATAATGATTGGTTGAAAAAAATTGAGTTTTATCTGAATTAAAGTTTATCAGCCACTGTGAGCCCTATGTTGTAGCAGAAGTGAGATCCTTTTCAAGCTCAAATGCCCCCTCCAAGCATCTAGTGAGTGTTGGCTTCTTATCAAGACAAGAATAAATAGTAATATCAACAGCGAACAATGCCACCTTAGCTGTGAGAATTTCTTGGAGATCAATAATGTAAATTAAAAAAAATTTAGGACCAAGGATAGAGGAAACTCTGGGGAACCCCTGAAGTTACAGGAAATGAAAAAGATTGCTATCCATCAAGGAAAACTTTTATACTACAATTAATAAGGAAAGTTTTAATAATCTTAAAGATGTTACACTGTAAGAAGAGAGTTGATACACTGTATGAAGGGAACTTTTTTCTAGAGAATTATTTTGGCGATAGATATGAAAGTAATGGTTACGATGGGAAACTGCAGCAGCAAAATGTGAGAAAAACCACAGAGAAGAGTGAGGCTTGACTTTGAATTATTCGGAATAAAGGATTCTATACGATAAGAGGTACAGTAATAGGGAGATTCTAATGATGAAGAAGAATGAGATATTAGTTTTAGACAAATCAAACCATGATCAGAAGCACCTAAGAATGACTGTAGAGAAAATGCGCACTGACTGGGATCAGAAACAAGACATAAGTTGAGTAGAGAAAGTAAATGATTCGGATTGTCTGGAAAGCGGGTTGGAAAGTTGACTATTTGTGTTAGTGGTTGAGTAAGGCAAAGATTGTGGGTGTTGTGGATTTTAACACCTACAGAGAAACTGACACTGCAGTAAAGTGGTGTTAAATGAAAGTACATAAAAGAATAATATGTGGATTCACACTTAGTTTCCCGACAAATGGGTGAATTCTTATGAATGTAAATATGCAGACCAAGCATGTGACTATAGGAATTTTTACAAACAGAAGAAAAGTTAATTCCAAGACCACGAATATTAATGAATGATAAATTAAGAGAACTTAGTGATAACGTTCGTTCTTTGTGTTTCATAGTTTACACAAAGCACAGATAGTACGATGCACACTAAAAGTATGAACAGGGACACCATCTATTCACAACATGGCACTGTTAGTACTCTGATATTTTTCTCTCTTTGAGAGCTACCAATGAGTTCAGAAAACCTGATTACCAGCTGGCCTCAGAACCATAAAGAGGGGTTTTAGAGCTGTACCCTCATTAGGAGATAATAAATTGAGCTGTCTAGCCATAAAAACAGAGACTCAAGCAAAACATATGCAATGTGTTAAGAAAATCCTGCATTCAACAACATAAACTGAAAATAATGTATTATAAATACATGTATGTCAGCCTAATAGATAAAAAAGGGGCGTGAAGCTGTTTAATGGAATCGGTTTAACCCTTAAATTTTTACCTAGGAGGCTTTCTAAAACACAGTAGCCAAATTCATTTAACATCTGCCTGGTGTTTTTATTGAGACATAACCTCTAGCCTTTATTCAACCAAGAGGTCCAAGGCAGGGGGTGTGCTAAGTCAGAGTTAAGTCAAAAGCAAGTCTCAGCGTGTTAGCCAGCCCAATGGCATGGCAAATACCGCGGAATTCCCAATGTGTTTAAAATTCTCAAAATTCAATGACCTTTTTTGAAGCAATAGGACAATATTAATAAAAATTCAAAATATTTTATAGATCAATAACAATAAACATTCCCAATATTGCAAAAACGCAGTAAATATATATTCCTAGCTAAAATCCTGTGTATATATTTATACTCACTAATAAAAAGTCAAAAAGTGTTGAACCATATTGTTAGAGCCTATTATAAAAAAAAATTGAAAATTCCCTCTGCATTAAAAAGAGTTGTATTTTATCAGCATAAAGCTTTAGTTTCTAAGTTGACTGAGTTTAGAGAAGCAACAATTTCAAACAAAATGTCCCATTAATCATTACTGCATGTGGATTGTGGAGAAATATCCTTGGAGGAAAGTATTCTGGAGAGACTGTTAAATTATCAATACAATTGACTGATCTATCTTGTTCTGCAGTTGAACATAAGTGAAACCTTGGAATCTTGCAAGTGAACTTTCACTTTTACAATAAAATAAAAAGTTTCACAATAAAAAAAGTTTGAATTATCAGTTGTCAGTTACATATAATATAACTAAACAATTTGTAAAGCTTTTTTAACTTTATATAATGTGTAGTTAACAGCATAATAAAAACTGATATTAGCAATCACCTTCAAAAAAAATTTACAATTAACTCTTTAATTTCAAAGATAATAATTCTTTTGCAACATTAGACAAATAAACATGTAATCTATAGAAAAATTTTGTGAATTATTAACAGAACTCAATTGGGAAATTCACACTTTTAAAACTCAATTGGAAGTGCAAAAATGCAATAACGCATAAAACTTGATTATTTATTTTTTGAAAACAGAATGAAAAATTATTTCCAAAGCTTAAAAAACAACCAATTTTAAAAACTTTAGTAAGCTGTAAATAACATAATATTAATATTATTGAAAAACTAATATTTGCTGAAAATTATTGAGATCATTTACAGTTTTTATTACATAAAAACCTAACCCTACTCATAATGTTAGTCAAGCAATTTGTTGTAAGCCTTTTTTTTAAATCTAATAAAATTATTTGAAAAAATTTCAAATTTTACCAATATAAAACAAAATAATAAAATTTCAAATCTTGCATGATAAACATTTTTTTGTGTTTACGTGATTGCACCTTAGTACAATCATTTTATTTACCTTTAGCAATTTAGTGATATTTGATTTTAATTTATGTTTAGTAAGATGATAACTAAAAATAATAAGAACTTTAGGTAATTTTTTTTTTTAATTTTAAATTGAGATAAAGTTTTGATACTATTGATAACTCTCACCTAAAAAAATTATTTGAAAAAGTTGATAATAAATATGCATAAGTTATGCAAAAAAATTTCTACCTGAAAATCATCATCTGTAATTGACCTACATGCTTGAAATGCACTATTTTTTAATGACTCTATGCTCTGCTCTGAAAATAATCTTTGTAACATCAAAAAAATTCCAGGTGACTCTGGAGAAGTTTGTAAAAGAACGATTAGAGCACCTTCATTGCATGCCTTTGCCATATAATGAGCATACCTTTTTTCTTTGTCTGTTAAACTTCGAAATGCATCACTACAATCCAAAAGAGCAACAGGAGCTGAATTTGGAATTACAAAATTTTTATTTTCAATTAATGCTGCCATTTTATATATGTATAAATTTCCTAAAGAATAATGTAAGAATAAACAAAAATTAATAGATATATATTTTTAATAGTATATTTTATTTATATATATATATATATATATATATATATATATATATATATATATATATATATATATATATATATATATATATATATATATATATATATATATATATATATATATATGTATATATATATATATATATATATATATATATATATATATATATATATATAAATATATATATATATATATATATGTATATATGTATATATATATATATATATATTCATATGTATATATATATATATATATATATATATATATATATATATATATATATATATATATATATATATATATATATATATATATATATGTACATATATACTTCAGTACATACATCGACTATATATATATATATATATATATATATATATATATATATATATATATATATATATATATATATATATATATATATATATATATATATATATATATATATATATATGTATATATGTATATATATATATATATATTCATATGTATATATATATATATATATATATATATATATATTCATATGTATATATATATATATATATATATATATATATATATATATATATTTATATATATATATATATATATATATATATATATATATATATATATATATATATATAAATGGTATCGTGTGCTATTGTAATCAATCTGATGTCATACTGAAATAGTCTGCTGCTGGGATCTTCAGTACATACATCAACTGACAAATAGCCTGACTTGCAGTGGAGTGCTGCTACATTGATTGAGGGTTTGGGATGGGGAAGCAATCGTTTCATTCATCATTCTTCGTTTTTTCTTCTTCTTTATCGAAAAAAAACGGTATAGCTTAAAAAGGTAAGCAGAAAAAGTAAGCAAATGCTTATCAAAACACGCTTTAGTAAGTGTATATATATATATATATATATATATATATATATATATATATATATATATATATATATATATATATATATATATATATTATGTATATATATATATATATATATATATATATATATATATATATATATATATATATATATATATATATATATATATATATATATATATATATATAATAAGGGGCATTGAGCCCCATGTTTTCAAGAACTTTTCTTTTTTCTCTTTGAAATAAGTAAATAAATATTAAATTCAAACTTGAAATATTTTTTAGTTATAGACAACACATATTTCTTTATGTACATAAGCTTTATCGAGCAAAACTTAAAGTCATAAAATGAAAAAAAAAGCTAAAAAGTTACGACTAAGGCCAACTCAAATTTTAAAAAATGGGGGCAATAAGCTTCACTATGTAAAACATATATTTTTACATCATTTTTAGACACTTCATACAAATCCAGTCTATGGCTATCAGCTCTGTCAGGAATTTCTGTGCATTTGGTACCAAACATCACATAAGTCACAGCACACATAATCTTCTCTTTGACCTCTGTGAATACCGCACTTTAAACATAGTGTTGTCATCTTCATCACTGTTCCTAATATCTCGGGCTGAAAAATTTTTTTGTTGTTGTGGTCTTTTTGCTTGTAGCATTATCTGTTTTTGCTGCTTCTTCTCTCAGTCGCTTTAAACACCCTTTAAAATCATCTTTTAACATCACCTGTTAGGCTTTCTCTGTTTGTGTAAATCTGGACTGCAGTTCTTTGGAAAAAATCTTTATTAAATAACTTTTTTGAAAGTGAAGTAGACAATGGTGTCTGTGGTCTTTCTGCAAGTGCTGAAGATAAAGATGATGATTCTGTTGATGATGTGGCAGATGACTATGATATTGACAGCAATACACGTAGTAGTGATGTTGAAGCAGAAGCATTGTGAGCACTAGTGCTGGAAAGTACTTTTAACAGTCCTCAATGCTTCCTGGTTAGCAGACATCTGCTTACATTTGACAGAATTGAAGGCATCTGTCTTTGTCTGGCTAGCTGCATAGATGTTTCTGCTACTTTTTATTTACCATTCTACTAAATAAATTGGACAATAAGCTCTATTACCAAAACTATATTTAAAGAAAAATTTAAACTATTTTTACAAATAAATAACTTTTCTTTTCAATTTCGACTATATCTGTGTAATGTTTATAAACTTGTAGCATGAATTTTATTTATCTGATCAATGTTATTTTATTGTTTTAATCACCTTTTTAAACAATTGGCTTTTTAAACAGTTGGGTGTTAAGCCCCTACTAATAAAAACATTTATTTTTATAGACTAATTAATTAGCATTCAATAGAACCATATTTCTGTTAGAATTGCTATACATTTAAAATCTTAAATAGAAATTTAGTATCAAATAGAATTTTGGAGCTATTTATAAACAATCTTTTAGACATTCATACAACTGCCATTTTACTTTGCTAAAATTTCTTCCTTTATTTGCTCTACAAATATCAATATTTTAATTAATTGACATCATAAAAAGATAGTTAAAAACTTTAAAAAACTACTCATTTAGTTTATATGTACTTGTATTTGTAAGGAAAATATAAAAACTTCAATGTAGAAATAATTTTAAAATAAGTCAAAACAAAGAAGCACTGGCTTTTATTAAAGTTTATTATCTAGTTAATTATCTAGTTTGAAGGAAACTATGAACTGGATGGAAAAACCACTTATCAATAAATTCTAATTAAAAATCAAAGCCGTTGATTAAAAACCCCAGAATGATTATAAAAATTTTTCTTATTGGTTAGTTAGTCTCTAGCATTTTAATGTCCCTCTCTCTTAATACAATAACACCAGCTATTTCATTATATGAAAAACATATATATATATATATATATATATATATATATATATATATATATATATATATATATATATATATATATATATATATATATATATATATATATATATATATATATATATAAAGCTTTTATGAATTATAGCATTTGATTGAATGCATTGTGCCATATAAGAACTTTAAATAAAAATAATAGTCTAAAGAAACCTTTGTTTTGTAAGTCTATTATTTAACTTGTATACAAGCTAAATACAGAATGGGGTAAAAACATTTTAAATCCATTATGCCAACTTTTTTAACTTACATAGCGCCATGCTTAATTTTATTCTTTTACAACACAATGTACTGTGTGTATTAATTTATCGTTTTAACAATTTATGGGTCATATGTTTTATTAATACTTAGCTTTGACAATTCTGATATTTTGGCAAAGCTGAGATAATGATAACTTAACTTTAGTTTTTATTTATCAAATTGTTAAAACCTAGTTTAAAAGTAAAATTTGATTTATTTTATCTAAAATTAAATATTAAATAGATTTAAATGCAAAATTTTAATGATTGATTGATTTGAATAATTTAAATCTGAAACCATTTATTTAAATTCATCAACCTTAAGTAATAATAAATAATCATTTTTATTTTATTTCAAATTTAAATAACTTATTTAAATTAATCAGCTCTTATATTATTAGTAATAATAGTTTATATTTTATTTTTTAATCATCTTTCATTATTACAATATAAACTAGCAATTATAATCTAGCAATTGAGAATTGAGTATATGAGATAGTAAATAACATTAGATATTTAACATACAACTACTGTATGACCAACTGCAACAGTAGGCAACATAACGGACCGTTATGTTAACCGTTATTTACGGAATTAATGGCAGCAGCGTTACCTGGGTTTTTTTTGTAGGAGAGTACCATATAAAATAATACGTTGAAGTTAATTTTTATAAGAATTTTTTGACACTCTCCTACCTTAAGCCCAGCCAGTGGGAACGCTAGTTGGTGAAAGGTGATCAAAGTCCACTCATAAACTCAAAATAATGCGCGAATTGTTGCAAAAACGGGTTGGTTTGATTAGAAAGTCACGTGTCAAAACAAATCAATAAAATATAAAAAAAAATTAATTGGGAGCAATTAATTGGGTTATACAAAATCTCAGAGACACATAAATTAAAGTTTTTCCCATTATAATATCATTGTTATGTCTATAATTTTTATAGTTTTTTGATAAGTGATACTCAGGTCCCATTAAGCTTCTGAACATGCGCCGCACATTTTTCAAATAAGGATTCTAAGCAAAAAAGGATGCTTTGCAAAAAATTACGATGATTGGAGCGTGGGAAACAAAAGCACCAAAACTTTCACACACACTCACACACCCTGCCCCAAACAAGAGAGCATCAAGCTGATAAAAAAATGTTTTAACTATTCTTAAGTAGACTTATATTCATCGATTAATTTTAAGTTTCATTGTATAATCTCCCTGTGTTAAAAATTATGACCATATAACGCTTATAACCCCCTCATATTGAGGGGAGTTCAAACTTTACATGGTCATAATTTTTGAATCCTGAAATATTATACTATGAAATTTAAAAATTACTGATGAATATAAGTCTTGTTGAGTATACTATAACAAATATTTTATCAACTTATTACTCTCACGTTTGAGGCAAGGTGGGCACAAATATTGGGGCTTTTTTGTTCCCAAGCAGTTTGTACGTGTCCCGGGTCATATCTTTTGCCATCTCAATGCAATTAACCATATTAGGGAGGTTTCTCTATCATTTTTTTCATGACATTTTCAGCAAACTGTTGACAATTAAACATTCTTTTTTCCAGAATTGTAGATCTTCAAAAGTCAAAATCTTCAAGGTTACCTGTAGCAGCATTTATTACTGCAAATATAATCCTCAAAACTTGATTTAACTTAAGTTTAAGAACATTAAAAGCATAAAGTTTCCTTAAAAGTGGTTTGCCATTAACCGTTCTGTTAATATTAAATATAATCCTTTAGTTGTTGTAGGTCCCAAGCCAGATTTTGTAACAAAAATTCATAAAGCGCCTACTCGAACCTCAGTACAAATATAAATCAATAGGTGCTAATGGTGTTTATCTATGGCTACTCAAAATGTGTGCATCACTGTTTTCCACTCCACTTACACCTATTTTTCTTGCTAATAATTGATCTTCCTAGATCTAAATAATAGCAATATTAATCGACAGCTCTTCAGAAATGCAGAAAAATATCAGTTATTGTTTTTGATATGCATTCGATTTAAAAATGCATATTGTACAATGTACATTGTTTCATCTGGTTTTATAACTGATTCTGGAAAATTTAATGAATATAACCTAGCCACAGCACGACTCTTATACAACTTTATTTCTGGTGCAACATGGTTCCTAGTTTGCTCAGAAATTTGATAAATGGATGGGAGGTTTTTGATCAGATAGTGCTGCTAATTGAAATGATGAGTGAAAAGGTCCAAAGAAACACGTATTAAAGACTTTTAAAAGTTTCGCTAGTTTTATTCCAGTATGCTTCCTCGTTCATAGACAAATGAAGCCCTATTACGGCGCTTCATCTGTCTTTGAAAGCAATAATGACAGGATCTCATTCATCAGATCCTGTGATTATTGCTTTGCGATTGTCAAAGCCTTCTCAAAATAAAAACTTATTTTTAAAACACCGTAATAAATTCTGCATAACTTTAAGCTTCGGCAAATAATTGTTCATTTATTTGTTGTTTCGATTTATATTGCATTTATTTATTTTATATAAATAATAAAACGTAACACTTATTAACCTTGTACTATTAATAGAATACAGTGTTTAAACCAAGACAGCATAGTTTGTGTATGAACATATTGACCTAAAAATCTGCTAATTCACTGTATTGCATCAGTTTACAAATTTGGGGAAAATTATTTATTTAGGCTAGAATAAAATACTTTGTTTGAAAATAGTTTATCTTTGTGTTATTACAAATGTAATTGTAAAACAATAATCTACCACATTAAAACTTAAAAAACTAATTGTTTTTTTTTATTCTCATAATTATAAATTGTGGAGTAATTTTAAGAGTGTTGTGCAAAATTATTTAAACAGTAAAGGTATAGCTAGGGACCGGCGAAATCAGCTTTTTAAGACTCGAATTTATATGAAAGACGAATTTAAATTATATGCGTATACCGAATTTAAATGAAAGACGAATTTAAACCGTATATATAGCCCAAATTTAACTGAAAGACGAATTTGGACTTTTAAACCGAATTTAAGTAAAAGTCGAATTTGGATTTTAAAAACACATTTAAGTAAAAAAGTAATATTTTAAGAACTTTTGTAAATTTTATAAAAGATTTCTTTTTTAACTTTAAATGTTCCAAGAAGGCCTAACGGTTTTGCATCGGTAATTTTTTATACCGATCATACCGATCGATAGTTTTTATACCGATGCATCAGTAAGAAAAAACGTTTGAATTAAAATTGCGATGGTGTGAAACGTGCCTAGAACTTGCTTCGAACCTTAGATCTATTGCTTCTAAAGGCGAGTTTCCACACATCCGTTTTTTTACGGGAACGGGAAAGGGACGGGAAAAATAATCACGTGGGCATGCGTAGTATAAGTTTTAAGAAAACTACGCATGCTCACGTGATTATTTTTCCCGTTCCCGTGAAAAAGCGGATGAGTGGAAACTCACATTAAAGCAAACGCTCTGATCACTGTGCAGCAGTTGCTGTATAATCATTCTTTACAAGAGGCCATCCATAAAGTACGTAGACAGGTATGAGTAGGGCAGTTTCCCAAAAGCGTACGAACGTGTACAAGAGGGTGGGAGGGGAAAAAGAGGGGTTTAAAGACAGTGAGTACGTACGCGGTTTGACTATCTTTCTTAAATTTAATTTTATTTTTTTTAAACATTGAATTTCACGTGTGTAACAAATCAGAATTAGGATTGTTTTTCTGACTTCGGTCAGAACTTTTTTTTAGTTTCTTTATAAATAATGAGGAGAGAAAAAAGAAATCGAGATAAAATTTAAAAAAAAAATGCATAAGTACAGCTTTGTACAAGGGGGTAGGGGAGAATCCCAAATCAGTGGTTTTATTGCGTACTTCATTATGGATGCACCCTTTATGGAATCTTTATAACAGTTAATGTTTTTGAACGAACATGAACGATTTTTTATTTATTTATTTCTTATCCAATTTATGTTCCCAAGGTTGAGTGAACCGCTTTAGTCGAGGAAGCTACTTTTGAAAAACTCACCATTGTTATTGAAAAAATTGATTCGAAACAAGTCACAAAATATATTCAATGTGAAAACAGGAAATAGGATTTTAAATCAATATAGGCAAGTAGAAATGTTTCTTCAAACGTGGATTAAAGTATCAACACAAAATGGTTGATGCCTTAACTAAAAAAACGTTTGCAGTTCATTTATGTTCTTCAGTAACCGGTAAACTTTTATTACCATACTTAATTTATACAGGTCTCTATTTTTACAACGCTTAATAAAGTAGCGGTTGGACAATTAACAACAAAATTGTTCTCCTTTGGGGTGGATGAAATTCACCCAATTTATTGAATGGTTTGAAAAATACTTATCACCAAAAAAATACATTAATAAATATCTAAGCTTGTTATATTTGTTGGATAGAACTCTTAGATGTTAAAAACTGTTGTAGACTTAGTAGTTTCAAACAACGTTGAGCTATTTTGTTCGCCTGGCCATACAAGTAGTATTTAACAGCTTTTGGGTGTATATGTTTTTAAGACAATCGAAACAGCTTATAGATGCTGCTTGAAAATTTTTACAATACAAAGCGATATAAAAATGTATATAAAGCAAATTATCTACCATGTCAACGGTAAAACCTATAGGTGATGAAATTATACAGGTAATAATGTTGGATAATATGGATTATCCAACAACATTAGAATCTAAGGACCTAGAAAATTCTCTTGTTAATCTAAAGTTACGCAAAACACCAAGAAGAATATGAGAAAATAATCCAGAAAAATAAAAGTTCTCCTAGACTTTGTTAAAATCAGATACTGAGGCAATAATGTGTCAGAAAGAATAATTTTTGATAAATTTGGAAAATAGTTTAGTAATTTTTAGGCATTTGTTAACTAAAAACATTTTTTTCGATTATAACGTACTTTTTAATTCTTAACTGTAACTTACTTTTTTTATATCTTCAAGTCAGCACTTAAGTTAATGGATATCTTTCAAAAAACATTTTTTTTATGTTTTCAACGTCATTTGACTGTTTTTTTATATGGTTAATTAAAAAAAAAAAAAAATGTAAGTTGGTTATATATATTAAAAATGTTTTCTCTATTTTGTTTGTCGATATTCCAATGATAATGTTGCCCCAAATAAAGCAACTTTAACATTTACAGCATAAAACAAACTACTGTTATTGTTACCCCAATAACAAAAATAATAATATTGCGTAACTAATTAGATTCTTTATGGCACCAATATCAGATAATTGCATACCACTATGTTTTTGTTGGAGGAAAAAAAAATCCATATTTACAAAGATGGATCAATTTTACTCCATATCACCATTATGTCAATGAGACTGATTTTTTTATAGCAAAAAAAATATTTAATACTTTAAATATAAAAAAATCAGTCAAAAAATATATAATGTAAAATGTATATATTTATTACCGGTAACCTAGCATAATCCGAAAAAATAATCGTGTAAATGTTTTTGAAAAGTTTATATTACGATTTTTCATTTTATAAAATTTGTAATAAACGGTAGCTTTAAAAATGTGTCTTGGGATGAATCTAAGTCACTTTTGACCCCTACAACATTCCGTCATGGAACATAATATTCGGTCATACAACATTCGGCCTTGCTTAACAATTATTAATTTTGATCCTGCTTCTCATATACAAACAAATATGGTAGTAAATTTTATCATTTTAAAAAATATATATAATTCTTTAATGCATATAGGCTATAACTGTTCAATATTTTTTGCTATAAATAAGATTATTTTAATTCTTAGAAAGTCTGAGCCGGAATCGTTCCGGTTAAACTAACAATTTTTGTGTAAGAGGAGTGTTATATAATTAAATCTAAATTTTGTGCTGTCTTGAACAAGACAGCACAAAACAGATAATTATTCATCTATGAATTGCTATCTATTTTTCTTCATTATTTTTAATAAAAAAATATTTATTTATATAAATTTTTCTATTAAGATTATGTTTAAGCCATCGTATTAAATCTATTGAGTTGGTTTTATTTCAACATTTTTTGCGTATAATTATTTAATCATACGAATATCGTATAATCATTATATGAATATATATAACAACCATTATAATAATGGATGTTATATATATTCACTTAATTCAAATGATTTAAAGAATACAAAAAAAAAAAAGATAATTGCTCAAATATAAGTTGTTATCTATTTTTCTCTATTATATTAAGTGAGAAGGTATTATAATATTACCATCTTTTTCAATTTTTAAAATAATCTCAATAGAATTTTTTTATAAATATTACTAACATTTGTTAAAAAATTCCATTGAGATTATTTTAAAGCCTTTGTATTAAATATATTGGATTGTATTTGTTTTAACATTTTTTGTGTAAAAAGGGTGTTATAATATAAACTCCATTTAAATGACTTGAGTTTTATTTGTTTCAGTATATTTTTGTAATCATTACCATAAAAAAGTTTCATCTTTTTAAGTTGCAGTTGTTATCTGATTTTATAGTTTGTAGCTATTTAAATAGTTCAAATCAAATTTATATATATATATATAAATATATATATATATATATATATATATATATATATATATATATATATATATATATATATATATATATATATATGTATATATATATATATATATATATATAATATATATATATATATATATATATATATATATATATATATATATATATATATATATATATATATATATATATATATATATATATATATATATATATATATATATATATATATATATATATATATATATTTAAGTATTTAATACATGTTTAATTAAAAATAGTAATAAATATAATGACTATAATTAAAACTATAGTTGTTGTTTATATTAGATTGAGAACTCTGTAATCTCTTTATTCAACTTAAAGTAATGGAAAGTTATAAATATAAGAGTTTGTCTTCTACTAACAACCATTATGGATTTTATTTGATGTTTGGACTTATAACATACTTTATTTGGTGTGATTTAAATTTTTTTGGAGAGCTAAGTGCTGAACAAGAGCTTGGTTTTAATTTGGCAAACATAACTCAAAATTTTCCGTCAATAAGCATTAAGTTAAGAATGCAAGATCATTTTGCACATTATGTTTATCTTCCTTTTTGTCAATGGGTTGAAGATACATTTAAAATATCAAAGGTACCTGGTATTACTCCTAATGTCATTACAGCTGTTCATTTTACTTTAGCATTTTGTGCTGCAAGAGTGTTAGCCTATCCTGAAGTTTTTTTTTCAAAGTTGGCTGCTATAATATATGAAGTTAGAACAATGCTGGACACCATGGATGGTGTGGTTTATAGAGCACAATCTTCTTTGAATACATATGTTTCAGGATGGGGATCTTATGGGTTTATTATAGACGGAATAGCAGACACAGTTGGAGGAATTTTTTTAACAATTGCTTTAATTTACAAGTTTAACAAAAACCCACCATTTCAAAATTTTGATGATATATCGCTCATGCGAAAAAAACATAATTTTGATCAAGAGAGTTCTAAATCACTATTAACTTCTGATGAATCTATTTCAAAGGAAAATGAGGACCTATATGGTCTTGTACGATATTCAAAAAAAACTGTAAATTTTACGATAATCTTTTTTACCATACTAGTAATTATACGCAGCAGCCTATGGGATTATTTTAATCACAATTATCATAATTTGTTTGCTCTTCGTAGACAGGATATCCCTTTAGTAAGTGTTTAAATTTTAATTACTAATTAAATATACTTTTATAAAATTTGTGCTTACATGTAACACTATATTTATAAAAAGAAAATATTTCAGTTTTTTTTAAAAAAAAGGTTATTTTAACAAAAATTTTAACTTTTGACTTTTAACAAAAAATACTAGAATTTGGAACTTTTTTTTATTTATAAGGAAAAGCAATGGGAAGTACTTGGCTATAAAAGCACATGGTTTTCTTTATGGCTATGGAAAACAACAAGTGCAGATGCCTTCATGCATTTCACTCTTATATCAATATTGTTTAATAAGCTATGGGTAAATTTGTTTTATAAATAATTTAAATATATTTAATATTATTTTGTTAATTATTCTAAAATTTAGGTATAGCTTAAAAGCATTTATTGTTTTGTGGTAAAAAAAAACTTTCCAAATATATATATATATATATATATATATATATATATATATATATATATATATATATATATATATATATATATATATATATATATATATATATATATATATATATACACACACAAAATCAATGTGTATATATATATATATATATATATATATATATATATATATATATATATATATATATATATATATATACACACACAAAATCAAGATTTTTTTCAGTTTGATTTTGTGTTTAAATTTAACTGACATTGACAAAACCCGTAAAGTTACCAACAAGGTAAAAAAATCTAGAATAAAATTTATGCATTAGGGAATTTGAATGGACAAGATTTTTAGAAATTTTAAAAACATTTAATAGCATCCAAATAGTCACTTTTAACTTTTATATATTTCTTGAATAATATCTTATATAAATCTTCTGTTTCTTAGTATTCTTAATGAACTGAATTTTTTATGCAACACATTTTCATTAGCCTGGTGAAATCTGAAATCTGAATTGATTATCACTCAGATATATGCTTAATATATGATTAAAATATTAGATATTTGATTGAAATTGTGAGGGCTTTAAATGTTTTCTGAAAAAAATAAGAGTCTTTATAGGAAGAACTAGTAAGATTTCATATTCTCAAGGCATATCTGTCCAGTATTAAACTTTTTAAGTACAACAAAATGTTTTTCATCTTCAAAATTTAATTTCAAAATTTTAAAGTAATTTGTCAAGAAGATATTGTTTAAGAGATGTTTACTTAGGTTTCTATTGAGTTCTCCTCCATGGATTGATGTTCTGTAGATGCAAAGTTGCTCGAAAGGTTTGTATCTTTCAAAGAACAAGAATTGCATTTATTAAGAGTGGTTATTAAATGATCAATAGCATGTTGGTAACTCCAAGAAATATGCAAATCCCTGGTTTACAAAATATACAAAAATATTCGGAAGTTTCATGTACTCTCTTTAAGGACAGTTTCTTTACACATAAATCACCTTCTAAATAGAAAATATATTTTGTTTGATTTTAAAAAAACCCATTGTCTTCATCTATTCATAATTTTATCATATTTTTATTTAGTCGCCTTTATTAATAATAACTGTCTTCTTTTTACATAACTTTATGTAAAAGGAAGACAGTTATTCTATCCACCCCTCATAATTTATTTTTTTTAATTATTTTTTATGTTGATTTAGGTGCCCCAAGAAGTCCTTACGGTCTTATCACAGAGCGCCGCGAAGAGCATTTAATAGGAAGTTCACGCCTCCTTCCCAACCGATGTCGCAAAACTTGTCCAGAGGTGGGGTTTGAACCACGAATCTTACGTTTCTGAAACAAGTGTGCTACCACTGCACCACGGCTGCTCTATTTAAGTTTTAAACAGTGATACCTATTGATGAAATATTAAATGATGCAAAATTTGATCTCCTAACTCCAAATGATTCAAAAGTTATTACATTTTGAAATTTAGTCTAAAATGTCTTAACTTTTGTAATTGTAATTTTTCCAATAGTACTTTTTTATAAAAAGCTTAAGTTTCAGTGGAAAAAAAAAACAAAAAATTAGTACCTGACCATTTTGAAGGTTGCTAAATCTTAATTTGTTCAGAAGATAATTGGAATAGAATTATTTGATAGTCAATTTTTAGTTTTTAATATGGTCAAGACATATTTTATTTACTACCAGAGTTGCTAAATTCTCATGGACTTTAATTATTTTTTTTCAAATTAATGAGGAGATAAAAATTTATTGATATAAAATATGGTTTTGGTCTGTTAATGCTATAAAAAAAAACCTCTGCATCTCTCATGTTTTTTAATGTTGATGATTTTATAATACATTAATAATATATAATTTATTTATTACACTATAATTTACTCTATTTACCTTTGTTAAGCATATTTTGTTTTCTTAAAAAAAATGAGAAATTTAAATATTTGTTTAAAAAATCAAACAAATTCTGTTGCTTTATTACTTACAAGGTTGCAAAGTATATGAATCAGGAAAACTTAAAAGGTTGCGAAGTATATGAATCAGGAAAACTTAAAAGGTGGCAAAGTATATGAATCAGGAATAAAGGAAGCAACTTCCAAAGAAGAAAAAAATGCATACGTACGTGAAGGGGAGGGGGTCTTCGAAAGCGTACAGGAAAAAAACTAGATGAATACGAGTTTTTGGAGCACTTAGGAACAGTCACAGAAAAAGGATGAGACTTAATTGAATGATGATTAACATGAGAATGAATTTTAGTAGATGGCACAAGAGATGCTAATTATTTAGAGCAGTGCCCACTATAGTATTTGTAGAAAAGAGAAAGAGAAGCAACATTACGATGATGTGATAATGGCTGGAGGTTGGCTGGAAGAACAGGTCCAACTATGTTTAAAATGCGTTTTTGCATTTTGTCTAAAAGAGAAAGGGCATCATTGGAAGATCCGTTTCAGACATAGCAACAGTATTCCATACAAGGACAGATTTGAGATAGAAATAAAAAATAGAGTCCAGAGTAAGAAAGTGTCTAGTACAATAAAGATATGCAACCTCAGCAGGTGCTAATTTTGCAATGGATAAATGTTTTTTAAGAAAGATGGGAAGTAAGAGTTAATCCTAGAAGATGAAGGGTAGATAATTCATCAAGTACATACCATTCATAAATAAAGGAAGATCTAAATTATTGCAATAATGATTGGTTGAAAAAAATTGAGTTTTATCTGAATTAAAGTTTATTAGCCACTGTGAGCCCCATGTTGTAGCAGAAGTGAGATCCTTTTCAAGCTCAAATGCCCCCTCCAAGCGATCCGAGAGTGTTGGCTTATTATCACTACAAGAATAAATGGTAGTATCATCAGCAAACAATGCCACCTTAGATGTGAGAATTTCTAGAAGATCGTTAATGTAAATTAAAAATAGTATAGGGCCAAAGATCGAACCTTGAGGAACCCTGAAGTGACAGGATATGAAAAAGAGTGCTGTCTATTGAGGACAACTTCTATACTGCGATTATAAAGGAAGGATTCAATAATTAATTTACCTGATACACCGTAAGAATAAAGCTTGTGGAGAAGACCAGTATGCCAAACTTTATCATAAGCTTTAGAAATGTCAAGAGCGATAGGCTTAACCTCTCCACCTCTATCTAATGCACGATAAAACCTATCGTTTGTTACTGTTAGCAAATTAGCTGTAGAACAAGAAGATTGAAATCCATATTGATGATCAGAAAGTAAGTTATTAGATTCAAGATAAGAGATTAAGTGTTTGTTAATTAAAGATTCAAAAACCTTGCTTATGATAGGAAGAAGACTAATAGGGAAAAGGTACCGTAGTTAGACAAGTCAGATTGCTCTCCATATTTTTTGAAAATAGGGATAACAGATACTGCTTTTCAGCAGGCTGGAAAGACTTTAGACTTTAACAAGACTTTAATAAGCACTTGTTAAATAGTTTTTAAAGTATAGGCGACAGCTCCAGAGAACACTTCTGCAAGACTAAAACAGATATGTTGTCTGGGACACAAAACCTTTTTACAATGGTTTCTAGCGTTAGAAAACATACATCTGTTTTCTGGAGAATTGTTTTACTGATAGATATGGAAGTAATGGTTTCAATTGGATAGATATGGAAGTAATGGTTTTGGCTAATAGATAATGACATAATGGTTTTGATTGCTGCAGCACAATATGAGGAAAACCATTGAAAAGAGTGAGGCTTGACTTGGCATCATTGAGAGGAAAAGATTCCATGCCAGCCTGAATACAAGAAGTTATGTAAGAAGCACATTTGTCAGCAGGAAGTCGAAGTATTTCTACCCATGGGCCATCACAAAGAAAATCATAGAAAGAGTCCCAGTCAGCTATAAGGTAGTTGTAAGAGGTACGATGATAGGGGGATTCTGATGATGAAGAAGTATTAGATAATTTTTTTAGAGATCATACCACGATCAGAAGTACCTAAAGGTAAATATAAAGAAACTGAGCACTGACTAGGATCAGAAACAAGACATAAGTCAATTAGAGAAGGTAAATGATTCAAATTGTCTGGAAAGCGAGTTGAAAAGTTGGCTATTTGAGTTAGAGATTGAGAAAGGCAAAAGTTGTGGGCTTTAACGCCTGCATAATCACTGACACTAGAGTCAAGCCATTCAGTGTGATGAGTATTAAAGTCAAACTATATTGGCTGATAAATAAAGAGAAAGGGCTTAGTCAGTTTGATCAGAAAAATAACATCGAAAAGTGGATTTAAATCTAATTTCCTGACTAATTGGCGAGTTCTTACCATTGTAAATGCTTAGGCCAAGCATGTGACTATTGGAGTCTTCAGGAATTAAAGGAAGATAACCATCAACACTATGATCACAAGATGAGATAGCTGAACTCAAATTACTCTCAAAAAGAGCAAGTAGGTCTGGTGAACTTTGCAAGAGATAAGACTCAACAGAAGAAAAGTTACTTTGAAGACCAGGAATATTAGTGAATGGTTTAGAGAACTTAGTGATGACAATGGTTTTTTGTGTTTTATAATTATTGTTACTTTAGTCATTTTTAAATTTGTTAAAGAACTTGACTTGAGCACAGATAGTACACTATTTAATAGTCAGTACACTATTTAATAGTCGGATAGACAGTACACTATTTAATAGTCCGAGCAATTGCCTCATTACTATTAAAAAATTAAGCCGTAACAAAGGACTCCAAACGTGGCCTTGACTATACACACCAAAAATACATTCAGGTACACCATCCATACATAACATGATACTGTTAATACTTTGATATTTTACAGCTGTTGTTGGAATCAGCCTCTCTGAGAGCTACCACAGAGTTTGAGAAACCTAACTACCAGCTGGCCTCAGAACCATAAAACTTAGTTTTAGAGCTGTACCCTTATTAGGAAATAATAGAATGAGTTGCCTAATCATAAAACAGAGACACAAGCAAAACCTATGCATTGAGACGAGAAGATCCAGCATTCAACATCCTAAATTGGAAACAATTTATTATAAATATATCTGCACCAGCCTAATAGATGAAGAAGGGGTGTGGGGCTGGCCAACATATAGAAACTGTTTACCCCTTAGGTAGTGACATACACAAACATTAGTTCACTAACTTTGTAAGCTAGCAGTCTCAACAAATCCTTTTACAGTGTTATCTATTTCATTACATATCAATTTTCCATGGTTTGTTGCAAAGAAGTCCCATATGCAATAAACAGAAAAATATCTTATTAATATTTTAAATAATTAAAAAATGTTTGCAGTTTTTATTCTGCCCTGCACTGATCAACAAAATTATGATTATTTTTAGTTGTTGAACTTTCAATAGTTGGTTTCAAACATTAAACAGAATAGATCTAACTGATATATTAACAATATAGCTTACATTTAATAAATTCATTGAACTTTTGTGTAAAAAGCTTTGGTTTTCATTTATTTATCAAAAAATTTCAATCATGTCATTTTAAGCATCTCTTTTACATTTATTTTTCATGAGGCAATTGTCCTGGCAGGTTTTGCAGAGATTTACATTTTGTAGTGAAAGAGAAGACACATAATTGCCATTGGAGCCAAAAGCAGTGTTCTCTCCATCGAACTAACTGTCATCTAATACATGAAAGCAGAAATTGTAAGCATTATTTTTGTTTAATTTAAGATAGTGTTTTAAGAGATTTTGTGCTTGTCAGCTGTTGCATTTGTGAATTATTTTCGATTCTTACCTGTAGACTATGATTTTAATGATTTTATGGTAGGATGTAACAAAGCTTACAGCACACAAAAGAAATGTATCTTTCGGACCTGCATGGATGCACCATTTAGACCAAGACTTTTAAATTTGGAGAATCTGATTTTATGATCTAGTTAATCATACAAGCTGCATAGAGCTCCTAAAGATTATGCATAATTAATTTTTTTAAATATATTTTTATACCATGCCAACATCGAATTTTTTACCAGGCATTTATCTTAAATACTTATAATCACAGTAAAAAGGTTTACAAGTGCTAAAATTTGCCTGAAGATTTAATGTCGTTTAATCACATCAGGGTTGCTATGATGCTTTTTTAGTTGATTTGCAACTTTGTCTTTTGAATTATGCTTTTGAGAATGTTTTTGTTATTTTTCTCTTATATGAAGGCTTTAGGGTTAGTCTTTAATACTGTAAAAGTTGTGAAGTGTTCTGCAAATTAAGAGGTTAGCTAAAAATGTTCTGTGAAGTGTTCTGCAAATTAAGAGGTTAGCTAAAAATAAGCTCTAAATAAAAAGGGAAAATAAGTTACTAATAAAAATCTTTTTATAGCAATTTGCATTTACATTTTGAAAGTGTTCTCATCGTCATCATCATTGGCAGGTATGTTTTACCAATTTTAGTTCATTTTTCTTCTCTTTATTTACTAGTTCTTGGTAAAACATTTCATAGTGGCATTAAATTTTAGTGTATTTATCATGGGCAAGTAATGTAATATTTAAAATTTTATGGAAAAGTTCACAAAGTTTCCTGGAAGTGTAATAAAGAATATGTGGTTGTTGCATATATAAAGACACAGAGATGAGAAAAATCATAGTTTCTTAGGTACATATAAAAAACATATAGGTAAAAAATAAACCATTTTAGAAGGTATGTTTAATGTAGTAAGTGGTTCAAAAGAAATTTAAAAAAATGGTTTGTTTTCATTTACAAGAAATTATGAATACCCTGATAGCTACATAAAATAGTGGTGTAGTGGTAGAGTGCTTGCTTTGTAAGGAAGATGATCCAAAATAGAATCCTCATCACATCCTTGTTTGTCAATGCTCTTGTATTTGGTAAATTAAAAATACCATCCCGCCTTATCATTGTTATAGAGATTTATAAAAAGGTAGCAGGATGGTTTATACTTTATAAAAAGGTGATGGGATGGCATCCCGCCCCACTTCAAGCACCATATATATATATATATATATATATATATATATATATATATATATATATATATATATATATATATATATATATATATATATATATATATATATATATATATATAATTGTTGATAAATATTGTATTCTGTTAAAAATACAGCTCTTTTCTGGTTAAGAGTGATCAATATTTCTTTGTAAAATAGATTGAATAGTTTAAAATAGAATAGATCTTTAGTTTAAACTTTTTAGGTGGTTAATGTCTTAGATTTCTAAAATAAATGTACTTACCAATTTTTTTTATTCAGAGCTTGATCTTGGATAAGCTAAGTAAAAAAAAAGATTAAGCACTTAATCCAACATATAACTACTGTATTATTGTTACTTGTATTGGTAAATGTTAAAGATTTGAATATTTTTAATACAAGTGATGTGAAGTTAAAGATTTTATGAGCAAATTTGATTCAATAATAAATTAGGTTTAAAGAAAATTTTGATAGTAACTAGTAAAATTTTGATTGGTTAATGAAATTTTAAATTTTGATTGGTCAATGAATTCTTAAGGATTGCTTAGTGATTACCTAATTACAACAAGCAATTAGAAACTGTAATTAGAAAATATCTCAAACAATAAAAAAAATTTTCAACAGAATGTTAGTTATATATAACAAATGAATTATAAATTTTAAACTGTTTTAGTTTAAAATTTAACTTTTAACTTTTAAACTGTTTTTTTTTAAAGAACTTTTATTTCTTGGTTTAAATTTTCATTTAATTTCTAATTAAGTTTGTAACAACTTTTATTACAATAGTTATGATTGTTTTTTTGTCATTTAGGAATGGCTTCGTTTCAATATGTATGCTTCTATTATACACATAACTTGTGTATCAATGATATGCCAAGTGCATCTCATGCATGTTAGTTTTACATTAATTTTTTGTTTTCCTTTTTTTTTAAGTTTTATGGTTTAAATTTTTTAAGTTGTTTTATTATTATTATTATTTATTATATATTATTAGATTCAATATTTTATATAAAATATTGTAGTTAGTTGAGTAAACTACACAATTTATTTAAAATGTTGTAGTTTGCAGGTAGCAGCAAATAATACAGTGTACCAATCATTTTATAAATGTTGTAGTTTGCAGGTAACAAGAAATGATATAGTGTGTCAATCATTTGATAGCCTCTTGACATTTGCTTTAAAATTTGCAATTGATAAAGCATTTTACACACAAAAATGTCTATTATTAATGTTTTGTCACAACATGTTTTCTAATTATGTGATCTTTATTGTTGTAAATTGGATTAGTTAGTTTTTGTTATCATTAAAACAAGAGTTGTTAAAAATTAAATTTTGAAATATTAATTTTAAAAATTTATCAGTATATCAACACGTGTTTCAAAAATTTGCTCCCATGGTGGTTTGTAGTTATGGCTTTAAAAGTTCTCATTTCAAAGCTTTGAAATATAATCTAAAGCTGACTGAATGTTTGGAAAATACGACTTTTTTTTTAATTAAGGAATTTTTAATTGCTTTAAAAAAATAGTCATCATTGATCCAAAGATTCAAAAGATTCCTGAGCAGCAAGTCATTGAAATCTAACTGGGTAATTCTGAAGAGAATTCTGTGGAAAATGGTAAATGTGCAAATAGGTTTGTAAAAATGTGAAAATAAAAGGTTTTATTATTTATGGATTATTGCTACATAAAAAAGTAAAAATGAAATTGCGCTGATGATCTTTACAAACTTGAAAAATTGGTAATTAAAAAACATCAAATCCATAAATTGAGAAATCACAGTATTTTGAACTGAAGTTTTTATTTTGATTGATTATTAGAAGATGAGTAATAAACTTGAGATATGCAAATGCTTTGTCTGTATTTACAAATAAGTATGATTGGAATTTTTTCTGTATTTACAAATTAGTATGATTGGAATTTTTTCTTTAAAAAAAGTCTGCTTAAGATACTTGCACACAGATAAATCTTGATGCAAAAGCATAATGCTTAAGCAACCTCCCTAATTTATGCAATAGCCCAATTGATGATTTTAATTTAAGTGAAGAAGTTTCTGATTCTTTGGGAGGAGCCAAGAAGGGTTAATAGAAACATTATTACAGTTGCATCCTTGATTGATCAAAAGTCTTGAAAAAAACGCAGACATGTGTTTACAGAAACATCATAAGAAATCATACAAAATGTTGAGTAACAAAATAATTGATTTTTCTTTTGTTGTGAGAGAACAAAGTATTGTACCATTTGGGTGTAAAGTAACTGTTTACAGTTGCAAAAATACCTAATGGAACTAGTCAATCTTTAGCAAATGCTGTTGTTACTACTTTTGAAGATTGAGTAATGGCAGATAAAGTTATTTGTTCTCTCAATCGACTTTAATACTCAATTGACTTTAATATTAAAATAAATATTAAACGCAGGAATGGGGAATGTATTCTTATTGATGCAAACCTTTTTTCAAAAAGTTGAAGATATCTTTTCACTTTTTATTGGTTCAGCTAGGGTCCTGACATTCTTCTATTCAAAAGATTTTAGGCCTAATGAAAACGCATTGACAAGTAACATAGTTCCAGATATGCATAGGAGATTAGATATCTGAAATCTATTTCGAAGTTGGTAAAGAAGACACTTAAGCAATAAAAGCAACTTTGAGAAAATTATTGGAAGCTATTGGAAATTTCAATAATTTTTTATGATGATATTTCCTTACAAGGAATTCATTATTAGGCTGCTGGAGAAATGTACAGAGCATGGTTAAAGATGGTTAAAGTCATTTACTCTTTGAGGATTTAGATATTTTATAGCCAATTCAATCTGTTTAAAAAAGATGGGGCAGGGATCTGTTTATTGTGTCAATTCATGGTCAAAGTAAATCTAAACTCTTCCAATTCATTTTCTACATCTGCACCTGAAATTAATCTAAGATTTCTCTTATTGTTGCAAAGTTATCAGTGGTGTTTTTATAAAGATTTTGTTTGTCTGGTTGCTAGGTAATTAACTGCTTTTTTGTTATTGTAATTTTAGTCCCTTTAAGTAGAATGTTATTTTCACACCGCCAAATGACTGTAACCCTACACCTCTAATTGTTATGACAAGAAAATTAGATCCGCAGTATTTAGCAAATCTTCTCTTAGGAGTTAGTTGTCTTGGTTTTTTTTACTAAAAATTATCTAATGACATGAAGAGACAAACGTCGATGTCACTGAGCAAATGAAGATGAAGATCTAAACATGCACACAGGACAACTCAGGCAACAAGTGCTTGGGTGACATTTTTTTCAAAAACTAAAATTGGGTAAAACGTTCCTATATGATTAGCCATGGGCATAGAAGGGTCAAATATGCAATTAGTCAGCTAGGAAATAGGTGCAAAATACCAAAGTTACTATGATACTGCAGAGCAAGCAGTAGCTTGAAGAAGCCTATTATATAATATTTTGACACGATGACATGAATATATTCAGAGAAATTTTGTTTTTTAAACTAACTTTGTACACAGCTTGCCTGTCTATAGTTATTTAATTTTGAATTAAGAAGTATTGAGTGCTGGTCAACAGCTATTTAATATAAATTTTTATAGAAGATGTTTATCTTATTTACTACTGTTATTTTAATCTTGTTAAAGAGTAAATATAAAAGTATATTAATTTAAATACAGAAATCATTATGTTCTATATTTTTTGTTATGTTAATTAATTTCTTTGTATTTTTTTCACTATTTTATCTTATTTTTTTATCTTATCTTTAGGTTAGGTCTGTTCTTGGCGTATCGGCGTAATGCTATCCAATGTTTGGAATGTTGTTTGTAGGCTTTCTTATGCCTTTACTGGGAGTAACTTTTCCTGACCGTTTTTACTTCAGCACTTTTTAGCACACCGTTACATACAGTGCTAGACCCAGTATTTTTTTTATATTTGCAGTATATTTACTTAATAACCAGTAAGTGACAACCATGATTCTTAATCACTTACAAAAACAATTTTAGTTCCTGTATATCTTTTTAACGTTGCAGAAATATTTTTTGACGAACACTTATATTTTTATAATCTTTAATTGCTTTGTCATACTTCAAAGTCACAATCTAAATATCACATGATTGCAACTTTTTACGACCTTCAAGTTTTAGAATAACAAAACGAAAATAAGCAACATTACTTAAAAAAGTTCCAGTCTAGGGTAACTCAGTTTTATGACGTAGTTTGTGACCTATATTTAAATACATCACAAAAATGTTGTGAACAAAAAAAATATTTTAAAAATTAAATTAAATACTTTTAAAATTTTCTTCTACAAGATTAACTATAGTTATTTTTACTATTACGCAATTATGTATTTTTAGTTATACTCGTTTCTTGTTTCTAGTTTTTTTATAAGTAGATTTTTAAAATATTTTTCTTTATTAAAGTTATTTCAAAATTTTTTACTGCGATAGCTCACTATATATATATATATATATATATATATATATATATATATATATATATATATATATATATATATATATATATATATATATATATATATATATATATATATATATATATATATATATAATATCTGTAAAAAATAAAAGCTTTTAGTTTCAGTTTGTTTAACACAATGAAACTTATTGTTTTAATTTTTTTTTTTTTTTTTTTAATACTTTAAATGTGTATAAATGTTATTTTTATTTAACAAATAAATGTTTATCTGGTATTATTTTGCTTTCAAAATGTTAAATAATTTCATAAAAGATAAGGCAATTTTTTTAATGATGTGTTTTTAAAACAGAAACCTTGAAACAATTAGAAATGAATAAAAAATTTAAAAAAAAAAACACAAATCTGCACCATACATCAACAAATTTTCTGAAATTTGGCACAAATGTTTAGAGACATAACTTAGGAAAGATTAATTTTTTTTATACAATTTTTATCGGTTTAAAATTTACAACAACTTGAAGTTTGTTTGATTTTGACTGAAAAATGCAGGGCAAGTGTCAAAAATGTCTCCGTACTATTACCATTATATAGTGCTTTTAGTAATGCTGCGATGCTGAAACTTGGTGCCAAAAGAGTTTAAAACCTGCTAAATCCGAAAACTTCAGTTTTGTATCTCTCGAATCAAGGCAATGTAGTTTATTTTAGGATTTATAAAATGTACTTAATAATAACAATTAAAAAGGCCATTGACAATTATAGCTATAAAAAAATCTCACTTATAGAAAAAAGAAACTTCTCTTCTTAAAGAAAAAACGTATATCAACTTTACAAACCAATTTTTTTTGGCCTAACTTTGAATGGAAGAGTTATTAAGGTTTGATATATACACAAAATTTTGTGATATTTTTGAAATCAGGCAATCTATCCCAACTTTTCACAAATTAATCAAATTAGAAATTAACAGTTTGGTATTATTTTTATCAATTTTTTACAACAAAATTATAAGGTATAGAAAAACCTTTTGAAAAATAAATACTCAATTTAAGTAATTTTATATATGCTTTTTATTCACATTATTTATAAATTGTACAAAAAATAACAGATTTAAAAAGTATGGATAAGACATATCAAACTCATCAAACTTAAAATTAGTTTAAATATAAAAAAATCTCTATTTTATATCGAAAAATATATTTTTCAAGTCGTCTTGGGCTAAATAGTAGCAAAGTCCTGTTTTTGTAGTCGATACTTCAACTTTGTAAATAATGTCAACATCTGGAATCCAGCATTGGCTATCCGCCCCCTATAACACTTTACTAGTTTCATTACGTCTCAATTGGTTACAAATGGTAACAAGTTTTCATTCTCTTATTTTTGCTGAAATATTAATTAAATAAACTTGATTGAACTTGATAAATTAACGCAGTAAATAATTGTTTATCATTGTCGTATTGCTAGTTACATCTTTACTTTATTTTTTATTGTAAAATAACTTCGTCTCAATTGGTTACTTTGTCAACAAAAAATAAATCAAGTTTCAATTGGCTTTTTTTTTTTTTTTTTATTCTAAAAGTGTAACTAATTGAGACGTAACGTAACGTTAAAAAAAAGGCTTAATTAAAATGTCTCTGTACAGATTTTTTTTTTTACATTACGTTACGTCTCAATAGGTTACACTTCAAGAAAACGTAACGTCTTTTAAAAGTGTAACCAATTGAGACGTAGCGTAACGTAAAAAAAGGCGCAATTAAAATATGTCTTTAATACAGACTTTTTTTTACGATACGGTACGTCTCAATTGGTTACCCTTTATTAGTTTCAAAAAAACTTAAAGTAACGTAAAAAAAATTGATAAAACAGCTGTTTTGTTCTGTATATGAGCATTAAACCGCAAGCCAAGCTAGAATTAAATAGTTTTAAAACTATTTAATTCTAGAGTGGCTTGTGGTCAAATGCACATTTTCTAACAGCTGTTTTATCATAATTTCAATAGGATTTATTATGCTCATTTAAGTTTTATACTTTTAAGAAAAATTTACTTTTGTACTTTATTAATAGTTAATTTCCTATAGTTTGACGATTTTTAAAACCTGTTTACACTGTAACTTTGTTTTTATTGGTGGCTGAAATAATTATTTCTAATTTTCAGGGCCGATTTTCACTGAATTTTTTTTTTAATTCCGAGATTTTAAATTTTTTGTTGATAACAAGTAAAAATTAGTAAACGTTGCAGATTTTTTTTTTTACGTTGCCGTTACATCTTACCCGACGGGCATTTGTTTTTAAAAGTTACGATCTAAATGTATTTTAAATGTCTTTTAAACGTCTTTTAAACATTAATGTTTAAAAGACGTTTAAAAGACGTTTGAAACACATTTAGAACGTAACTTTTAAAAACAAATGTCCGTCGGGTAATTGGTTACACTTTTAAAAGTTTGAAAAATACTTAAAGTAACGTAAAAAAATATATATTTGTGACGTATTTTAATTATGGTTCAAATTAAAGAACATAGGCGTTATCGGTAAATTATTACAGTTTGGGTGGTGTGGGGTTTTAGGATCGAAATTTTTAAATTCGTTTCTAAAAAAACAAGGTAGAATGTAAAAGTTATACTTGCAATTGCTATTAAATTAACAAAGAAAATTTACGTTTTTCGTCAAACCTTCGTTACGTTACACATTTTTCAAAATTTAATAAACCCACAAGCTAACATATATATAAAATGTCAAGCCATATTTTGTGTTAAATATATGCTATTTTATATTTTTAATATTATTCACATTAGTTAAACGCGTAGTTAGCAAAGTGCTATGACGGACTTCCAGCTGAATTTTACACAACTTTTTGGCACATTTTAGAAAAAGATTTTGAAGAGCTTGCTTACGAAATACTTTTCGTAGAAAAAAATACCAGCTACTCTATGAAAAAATCAATAATTTCACTAATTCCCAAGCAAGGAGATCTCACTGAACGTAAAAATTGGAGGCCCATATCCTTAATCGGCGCTGATTACAAAATAATCACAAAAGCTCTGGTCCTAAGACTTGCAAAAGTAATGGGGAAAATTATAGAACCAAATCAAACTTGCGGAATTCCAGGTAGAACAATTTTCTCAAATTTACACTTAGTCCGTGATCTAATAGATTACGCGGAATTTAAAAATCTACCTAGTTTCATTTTGTCAATAGATCAAGAAAAGGCGTTTGACAAAGTCAATCGTGCGTTTCTGCTGCAGATTCTCCAAAAATTTAATCTCGGAGAAAACTTTATATCCTTTATTAACACCTTATATTCGGAAATTTTGGCATCTATTCTGAATTGCGGTTTCTTGTCAGCCCCATTCCTAACCGAAAGAGGAGTCAGACAAGGTGACCCCCTCTCTCTTTTGTTGTATGTCTTTGTAGCTGAGGCTCTCGCTTTGGTGATCAGAGCAGACAGCAGAATCAAGGGATTCCCATTACCAGGAACACCGAAACCCCTTAAAATACAGCAGTACGCAGGCGATTCGAACTTTTTTGCCAGGGACGTAAAATCAGTCCGCTTTTTTTTCGAAATAGTGAAAATGTTTGAAAAAGCAAGTGGTTCAGTGATCAATGCCTCAAAAACCAAGGGTCTTGCTCTTGGGGGTTTTGATCCCAAAATGTACCCGGAATCGGACAACATAGAGTGGGCTAATAACACCGGTTTCAAAATTTTAGGTGTTACGTTTTACACCAGACTGAGTAATACTACCAATTTCAACTGGCTAGTAACTCTAAACAAAATAGAGAAAAAACTCAAGTTTCTGGGACTACGTACTTTGTCACTTAGGGGAAAGACTATGTTGATAAATACGTTAGCATTGTCAAAAGTGTGGTTTCTGGCAAACGTGTTGCCCGTTCCCGAATGGGTAATAAAACGATTGCACAGTGCCATTTTCAAAAATCTGTGGCAAAAGACCAATTTCAATCCGGTCAAAAAAGAGACGCTTTTCCTACCCGTCAAAAGCGGGGGTCTCGGAATTTTATCACCGAAGGAGCAAAGCCTTGCGCTCCGCCTCAAAACACTTTTTTAACTGAAAGAATGCGGAGAGAATAACACCCACGATAATTACTACTTTTCAAAGTACTGGTTAGCAAGCTCCCTTATTAAATTTACAAACCAAAACCCAAGCTGGAACTTTTTGAAACAGAACAATTTTCCAAAACACTGGGACAACAAAATGTCTCAATACTACAAAACAACTATTGAAATTTTAGGCAAAAACGGGTCCCTATTTAACATCCCCCTAAAATCAACAAAAAATTTTTACTTAGAAGTGGCAAAAAACAAAAAGACAGACGTACCAGCAGAACTTTTCTGGAACGGTTCAACAAAAACAACAATGCCGTGGACCCAAATTTGGAAAAAGAACTTTACCTCCCACGCATGCGGACCGACTCAAAACATCCTCTTTCGATTTTTGCACAACAGCCTACCTTCTGCGGCCTTGCTAGCCAAAAGCACAAGGCAACAGATTGTCAAAAACAACAAATGTAAAACTTGTGATAAAATCGAGGACAATCTTCACATCTTTGCCTACTGCCCTCCCTCTGTTAAAATTTGGGAATATTTTAAACATGTATATAACTCCT